ACCTTCCCACTGCTCCTGCCTGCTTGTGCTGAGGAAGCCTAGGAGCGAGACTGACCAGCCGTTTTGGGAAGCAGGACCACCCTTGCCTCCCGCCCTGCGGCTTTTCACTTTCAAAATGAATCAGGGAAAATTACCTCCTCAACAGGCCCACTGCTGTTCCAAGTTTCCAGATGGGTGCCAGAAGTTTGAAATATTATGTGGATGTGGAAATCAGTTGCAAATGTGAAAACTGACTACAATTTGTGTGTCTTTCAAGTTTTACTCAAACCTATGGCTAATAATTAAACTGGCAGCAATAAGGAGGGAGGGGGCTCCTCACAGGTGAGGCTGGTGGTCTCATGCCAGGGCTGACGCCCTGCCTCTGAGAAGGCATTTCATCAAAGTCCAAACCAAACCAAAGCCCCCACCCTAACTGACTGCATACAGTCGCGTTCCTTGTGTGTGCGTGTGTCTGTGTGTTTGAAAATGTCTCCAGGATGTTCGTCTTTTCCTCGGCTAAAATCTCTGTGTGTGCTCATTTGGGGCCTGCAGAGAAAATCACTTGTGGAATCCACATCAGTTGCTCCTCACTTTACTCCTCCCGTTCCAAGCTACGCCTTCTAAAGGACCAGGACCACGGACTCCCATCCATGCAGCCTCTGAAGCTGTGGACCACTGGGCACGGCCTGGGAATGGAGTGGGGGGGGGGGGTCCCCTGGCTGCGGCCACACTGAAGTCCAGGGCTGAGGAGGCCAGTGAGTTACTTCCTGAGGGACCCACACACCTTGGCGGGTGACGCACCTGTAGCCTGCATGCCCAGGGCATGTTTAAAATTCAGAGAGTTGAAAGAATGAAATCAAAGCAAGAATAACAAATCCTGACACGTGAAATAAATGACACCGTAATGTCATAGTTTTATCTGAACACATCAAGCCCATTTGCTCACAAGTCCTGGACGCTCTCTTGTAAGTAGCACAGCCTGGACATTGTGATATGCGTCACATGGCTCAAGATGAAGTAGTTACTTCTGGGCCTTTTATACAAAACCCACCTGTGCCTGAAACAGACCAATTAACCCAGGGTTGTTTTGTTTCAGAGTCAATTGTTTTTGATGAGATGTGAAAGCAGTTTCATGTCAGCGTGAAGTTGGTGCCATAGCTGCAAGGGTCTTGCGTTTTGCCCACCTTTATATGGAGTAAAACTGGACTCAGAGCATTTGTGTTTTAGGAAGTGCAAACACCTCCCAGGGTGACAACAAACCAACATAGTCCAGCCCCAATTGTCAGTTAAAGGGCAAACACTAATATTTTGGTGCAGAAATAAAGCACATGGGTGACCTCAACCCCACAAATGGACTGAACGTCAGTGTCAGGGGTCAAGGCCCACATCAGGAAAGCAGAAAACAGGGTGGACACCACAGGCCCCATTGCCAACAGCCCGCTGCCACTGCTAAGCGTCAGTGGGGTCCTCATGACACCCTCCAGAGCATCTCCTCACCTGATGCAAAGAACTGGGCTCCAACCATCACACCAACACCCGAGCTGCCTGAAGATGGCCAGAGAGATCACCACCTGACTATTCACCTGCTTCCCCTGGTCCAGCTTCCAGAAGCAACTCAGTGTCCAGTCCCAGTTATGTCCTGAGTCCAAAAAGTGGGGCATGGCCAGTCCACCCAGACTAGGGAGCAGTGGGGGCTGGAGTTAGGGCACCAGGGGATGGGAGCAGTGGGGGTGGAGTCAGAGCACCTGGGGAGGGGAGCGATGGGGGTGGAGTTGGGGCACCTGGGGAGGGGAG